TTTTCTGATGAAATTGTCCTGTATTTAGTATTTTTGCCAAGTTTTTTTTATACGTCCAAAACGTAAGAAATAAACATTAAAAAGTACACGTTCTATGAAATTGCCCTTTGGGACTGATTGATAGATCATTTGATTAATTGCAAATTGTTTTACAGTTAGGGTAAGTTTCCAAGAGTTTAAAAGAGAGAAAGGTATCCAGGCGGACGCGCTTAATACAGTTGATGGGTAAGAAAGGCAGAAAAAGGTAAAAAAATCAAGAAAGAGAGAGGTAGTGCCAGTTGGAGGGGGCTCTTTAAGAAGTCCTTAAAAATATAGCTTCTTATAAAACGTGTTGTTTCATGAATCGTTTACATTTTTTTTTTTTTTTTTTTATGTAACAGGAGACAAACGGGCAGAAGGCTCATCTGATGTAAAGTGATACCGCCGCCCATGGACACTCACATTGCCAGGAGGCTCGCAAATGCGTTGCCGGCCTTTTAAGAATTGATACGCTATTGCATTTTAAGGCCTACGGAGGGATGACGGTATAATTGTAGTAAAAGTTGTTATTATAGTTATTTTCAGTTTCCTTGTCACGTATACGTAGTATTTAAAATTCCATTTTATATTTTTTATTAAAAAGACCAATATTAACATCACTCTCATATATTTTATTGGAAATTACTATAATTTATGAGTAAGTAATTATTACTTCATTTACTAATAAGCCTTTAACACAACTTTATTTCTATTTAAACATTCAAAATGTGCTTAACACATTTAAACATTATGGACAGGTGAAGGTCGTAGCGGCGACATTCTTGAAATATTTACGTGCCCCGTTGACCATCTACTTAACTTAAGTACCTACTAGGCCAAGTAAGCAACGTATTTGGCGAACATTTTTATGTAATTTTAAGTATGATGAATATGGACATACTTTTCATCTACCAACAAATTTAAATTTCATTTTCATACTCATACATTGGATGCTAAGTTTTATAGGCAAAAGTGATTATTTACCAAGATCAAGGGATTCAAAATAAGTCACTCAAGTGGAAAATGTCGCTCCCGACCTCGTGACTTCTACGAGAAAATAAGTCTATGAAGAACTACATTTATTAATTTCATTATCACGATTTTAATCCGACTTTTAACAATCAATTTTGTGCGTTTTTACTTAGTAGTCAGTCTGTTGATACTGTACATACTATAAAAGGTTCATCAATAAAAAACAGTACAACCCATGACATTGTTACTTCTGATTCATTATCATTTTTTAAGAGCCTAGTAGGTTCATCCTTTCATTCCTCAGACTTTTTGGGTCTAAGACATCTCTATATCCTCACATTCCTCGACCACACGAGTGACTGTGGCGGCGTCCATGCGTCGGGTTGTCTCTCTCCCTAAAATATGGCGAGGGTTCCGATGGGTGGCCATGCGTCATACTCGTGAACGGGTGCTACTAGTGGTGACTGGTCGGACTTGAATTCGTGTATGCGGTGATGTTTGTTATTTCGACTATGTATTTGCGTGTTGTTCCCACGAGAACGTAAGTGCGTGCTCCTATTTCACCATGCTGATAGAGGACAAATCTTTGTTTTTAATTTATTTTATTATTATAAATTACCTATTAATTACTTAAGATGTCATGTAGAACCTGCTCCTTACAAACGTTGTGTAAAACAAAAATCTTGGCGATTAAAAATAGTGGCGGAGAGTTTAATGCCAGTTCTTATCTTCCGTTCTACGCCCTTGATTTGAGAACTGGCAGTAAATGTAAAATTGGAAGAATTTAATGTATATTTCTTTTTTGGCGTTCATAAGTGTACATTGTGTTACCTATACGAATAACTGATGAATGCGCAAAATGAAAGCCTCCGCCTCCAGCCGAGGTTCGAACCTACATCATCAGTACACTAAAGCCACTAGCTACCACAGCTTAAGGTTTGCCTATGTATATGTATCACTAATCTTCTATAAAGGTACTTTGTTGATGTTTCTGATAACGATAAGACATTGTGACCACTTGGTTTAGGTATTGTTATATTTATTTTGACAAAGATATTGATAATTCAATCACAATACAGTCACAATATACTGTCAAAAATCTATACTTTAGACTACTCTAGAAGCTTATGATTCAGAAATGTTATCAGAAAAGTAATTAATAACACATTAAGTATCGATATGTAACCGATTAATCAATTGGAGACTCATGTGAGCATTTTTATCTAAATGGTATTTTGTATACGCAATCTAGCGGCGATACAGGCCTTGGTTCGCATGTTATCATTTCATTGGTGTTTAATCAAGAAGACAATCAGCCTACTGTGTCTAACATCCCAATATACAGTGGCGTATCAATAGGGTGGCAGGGCTAATGCCACGGGCATTGCCCAAGAGATATTATGTTATATGGATGAATGCGAAGTCTCCAATACGCATTGGGCTAGCGTGGGGACTACAGACCATTCCCTCTCGCCGAAGAGACGAGGCCTATGGCCATTAGTGGGACATATACAACGTGTAATTGAGTACAAACTTCTAGAAGATTATTAAAATTAAACTGAGTAGGGACGATTTTTGATAGGGCCTCATCAAAAGAATTGCCACGAAATGGTATGGCCCCGGATGGTATAGTTACCACTGCCAATATACACAGACTTCTAGTATATGATGTAACACAAACATTAGGGTTTAAGTCTTACCCTTGGACAGTTACTTTCGATTGTCAAAAACATATTAGTTTTGATATGCGGGCGCTAAGTCTCGACTTTGAAGGTAAGATTCAAAATCAAGCGCTAAGTGTGACTCCCATATGTCTACGTCGTAGGATTTTGACATATGAGAGTTAGCGCTATCGTTTCTGAAACTTACCAAAAGCTGAAAAGTGAAAATCGTATTTTTGTGTGCTACCTTTATATTATCGCTGTTATTCAAGAGTCAATATTGGTATTCTTTTTAGCTTACAGTTATTGCAATAAACAATTGGAGTAAAATTTAAAACCATTTATTCTTTTAGGCAACACAATGTACACTTATGAACGTCAACAAAGAAATACATATTAGATGTTTCTAATTTTACATTTACTGCCAGTTTTCAAATCAAGGGGAACGGGCGAGAAGAACTGGCAATAAACTCTCCGCCACTCTTTTTACTCGCCAAGTTTTTTGTTATACAAAAGTTTTAGGAGCTGCAAAATTTTCATCATATTCCACATGACATCTTTAAGTAATTGATAGCTAATTAATAAAAAAACAGTGATTTGTCCTCTATCAGCAGTAGCCAAGGTGAAATAGGAGCACGCACTTGCATTCTCGGAGACTTAGATCGAGAACCAAAAACCAGACCTAGCTCGTTTATCATATACCCAATACCCAACCTGTACATCGGTGAGCATTGGCCAAAACACGTCCTTTGGAAAGAAGGGACAAATGGACGGATGCCTGGGGTATCACGGGTACATGAAATTTAAATTTAGTTCCAAGGCAATACCTGATTGTTAACTATCTTAAATGCAAACGATATATCAATTAATTTTATTCGATTCTCCAATGACAACATCTTAAAATGTGGTTTCGTACGTTAGCAACTTTTTTCGAGATGCTATTGAAGTAAAGTAGATACCACACTGATCTTTTTAGTAAGCGATTCTAGTTTTCTCACGATATTTTCCTACAGCATACAAGCAAATGTTATTCATATTAAAATTACATAGGGGAACAAACGACCTTAAGGTTAAAAATCCCTTGCACTAATTAACTTAGACAGCTCAGTGGCTTATACACGTTTTTATATTTTGGTTTAGCATTTCGCAATAACGTTATATGAGAAATTATGGCGTTATTTATTGAAGCGTATTTTTAAGATTTTCTGTTAAGTATTACAAAGTACTTCAAACAAATATTTTAGGAATGGAATTGCAGTTTGGGCCTTACAGAAGTTAAAGAAATGATGTTAAATGTAATTTAATATACATTTAAATCTATAGATCTAATTGGAAAACAAAGGCGTTCGTTATCTAATCACGTAACTGTAAATAATGTATTAAACATCTATACATAATACACATTTTAGCGGACAAGCGTAACAAAAGTCGAAACACTACACACTCTTTGAAGCCTAGTGAACCATACTGAATGTAGACAGACTTCCGGTTAATTCATATCCGCTGTGTTTTTATTTATGTCACGTCTAACTGCTATAAATTCATAATATTACTGACCATAGAAGGTATATCGGCCGTTAGTTTGTCGGATTATAAGCCTAGATACATATAGCCAATAAATCTAGTGTTTTAAAGATAAAAATTGTAATTTAATTAATGTGCAATCTTTTGAGGATATTGCTAAATTATGCCACGATGAAGTAATACCTAATTAACATTTAAAATGTCTTACGAAAGTTCTTTAAGATTCTAAATGTTTAATTGGTTTTACTAGGTGTTCTGTCTGCTGAAAAGGTGTAAACATGAATTAAAATACAGCTGGGTTGCGTACACTCGGAGCAACGACCGGTCGGTCAAGTCGCCATCTATTGGCCATCTTTCTCGCCATTATATCATTACTTTACCCGTGTTCACAAGACTCTTACTCAAGACACAGTAGCGAAGTACTTTATTAACAACTAGAAGACTTTCTTTGAGGGTTATTGAATGGCTAACGACTGAACCGTATGTGTGGAATCGGGCTGGGAGTGGCGTCGCGGGAAAGCGGTACAGTCGACGCCCTCAATCCTATTATGCGCATACGCAGGCAAAGCTGTCACATCAATTTCATTACTAGCTAATAAATCAAGTGAGAACTTACCGTTTGGTAGTTTTAAAATGATGAACTTGATAACACAATCACATACACGCTACGATACGCGCCTGAACGGCGACCCGGTGAGTACTGGAAGCCTCGGTCGTACATTCACGCCCTCCCCTCCTCAGCGGAGCCTCCGCAGGTGATACGTGGTACGGGTGGCAGTGGCTCATCGCGACCGACAGCGACCGCGCGTCTATCAAGCTCCGGCCATGTCTGCGAACGGCTCGGCCGCCGCCGAATCGCGGCTCTGCCACGTGCGAAAAGTCCCGGATTTCGACGGCTACGGATTTAATTTGCATGCAGAGAAAGGAAAACCCGGCCAGTACATCGGCAAGGTGGATGATGGATCACCCGCAGAAAAGGCCGGGTTGCGACGCGGCGACCGCATCCTTGAAGTAAACGGACACAGTATCGCGGGCGAGACGCACAAACAAGTAGTAGCTCGCATCAAGGAGCGCTCGGATGATGCTGAATTGTTGGTAGTGGCCCCGGCGCCGGGAGAACCAGTTCCCGACTTAGACGCGCCCGAACAGAAACAAGCCAATAACGTATCCACCGAGTCGACGTCGACTACTGGTTCCACAGGCTCCGATAGAACGGATGGTGCTTCACCAGAACCGCCGCGTCTGAATTTACAGATGACAGCGGCGGAGATGCGTGCTTTCCTAGCTGCTAAGAAGAAAGTGGACCCAAAAAAGGTGCCGATGGATCTCAAATCCAAGTTCGATATCGTTAAGAAGTTGTGAAGTGTGTTGCGTGCGAGCGTATAAACCTACTCTAGTACATAATACGCTGTTGGCGGGCGCGCAGGTGTATTGCGATGTTGCCAGTCCGCGCTGAGACACTGTTTTACCTGGGTTCTACCATGTCATGTTTGATTTGTGATCGTTGCTGTACAATTTTTGTATCTACCGAAAGAATGTAACATATCGTGCCTTTTTAATTGCCATTGAAAGTTGTACATAGGTACTGAGTTTTAAGGAAATTGAATATTTTTTTATTTATGTGCGTATCATATAAATTTTATTAATTGATTATCTAATTGTTTAGTTAGAATAATGTTAATTAAATGCAATTATTGTTGAGTGATTTAATAAAGATGTTGAAAGTGGTTGGACTTTTTTTTTATGAAGAACCTGAGTCACGATGACATGACTCCATCATAATTTTAGTTTTATTCTTTGATAACTGCTATCTCGTCGGCTATAATTTATAAAAAAAATACGCATTGATTGTTCAACAATTGCACAAATTTAATAACATAACGTTAACATCGCTTTTGACAAATGATAATGAAAGAGAAGTCGACTGAAAGGTGTAAAAGAGATAGTTTTGATAATTTTAACTGTATTGCACGTTAAATTAACTATGTATGTATTTTTATTATAGAAATATTAAAGATTATTTATACACTTCAGTGTGGGAAAATTATGCCGTGGACAATTACTAATTAATTTTTAAATTAAAATGTACTAAAACAAGTTTTTGCTGTAAATGTACAGTATAATCTTTAATGACCGTTTTGAAGACAGATAAATCTTTGTTATAGGCCGAACACTTTGAGGACACAATAAATATAATTGTGTATATATATTGACATTGCGACATTACAACAAAACAGAATATTTGTGTCTGTATCAAAGACGTTTTAATTTAATTTTTAGGGAGTCAAACCCTGGATTTCAAGCGTTACATTTGGTTTTATGAACTATCGTAAACTCAGCTTTTTCACATTTATTTATTTTACATAGGGGATATATTAACTTATCTACTCTTATCAAATATCACAAATATTTAGACCATTTAGATTGTAATCCTATTTATCTATTCCTGATAATAGTTATCAGTGTGAAGGGTTTTATTAATTATGCAAAGGAATCGCATAGTGTTATAATAACCCAAACGTGATTATAGGTTATAAATGAATATAGCAAATAAAAATTATAAATTGAAAATAAAGTACTATGTTAATGGATTTCGATGGTAATGATTGATTAAAAAAGAGATTGATACTATAGAAAGAATAATAATTAATTATTAGATTACATAAAAACGTCCCTCCGATGTGGTACCCTCCAGGTTCCAGGTGAAGCGATCCTATTTTGATTTCTAATAACTTTTGTTCGACTTTACGCTGCTGCGTGTACATGCAAAATTTTTCAGCGTCATTGAATAACTGGAGAGGATTTGGAAGGACCTTTTTGTGTATGTCCACGCATAACTTTTGCGTATGAAAACGCTATATATTTTTACTTCACTTGTTCTGTTACTACTACAGTGATGTATCTGCTGTTGCCTAATAAATAAAACGTCATTTGATGACAGAGCTGTCAAACCATTTTTCTTAGTATACTTTAATACTTTAAAAGAATTTATATATATTATGCAAATCAGAATTTTGAATATCGAATAACGAACTACTATATATTTATGCAAATTACCCAAGAGCTCACTAACTTTTAAACGTAAATAAAAAAATGATTTTTAAACGTTTAAAAGAGCGATGTAACTCGGTGACGAATGACGAATCGGTCCAAAAATAGTACTAGAAAGGCACACACCAACTACCACATTTTATGTTCATATACTTCACCCGCTATATATTAAACAAGGCGATTTATTCTGTTCATTCCACCTAAGCCCATAGAGTATAAAACGATAGCTTATGCGAGACATGGTCGTGACAAGGACAGAGATAATAACGTGTCGCTCCTTCCCACGCTCAGAGGAAGATGTGATTATAATACAAAGCATGAGTAATTATCACTAATTTGCTATTTACTTATTCATGAGACTTTCGTACTAGTGAATAAATACTAAGTGTACTAGCTGCCGCAGGTAGATTGAATCTTATGTATTAAATTAGGTATAAACATGATTTATTTACCCCGTCCGGGTCTGTCTAAATACTACAAAAAACTACAGAACTGACTTTTTGAAGGTGTTGTGTAACGAAGGTCACATTTGATTAAATTTTTATATAAATTCACTGAATTTTTACGACTCATAATAAGACAACCGACAGACATTTATGCATAAACATAACAAGCACAGCCTTGCGATTCTGTAACTCACTTTTCGAGCTCACACAGCGGTTTTCGCAGCGGCGGTCGCACTCAAATCATTCGTGAAGCAGTCATTTTATGATTTGGCATTCTGATAAGGTCCCTCCTTGTAGTTTATTGTTTATATATATGTCTGCTTTACGACTGATTTGAGCGCAACTACCTCTGTGAAAACCGCTGTGTGAGTAACAGAATCGCAGGGCAGAAATCTTTTTTCTTAAAGTGTATTTTTACAGCATTTTAAGCGCGCACTACCATTATGTGGAACCAACCAACTTAAGTATTTCTAAAACGAATTTTACTTTGGGTCCGCCAAGAGTGTACCAATTCTTACAGAACCGGCAACGCACTTGCACACTTTCTGGTGATGTAAGTGTCCATGGGCGGTGATATCACTTAACATGCTAATACATTTTGCCTGTTCTAAAAGGAAATAAACTGTATTCATTTATAATTACATTTCATTAGATTGTATATATAACGTAGCTATGCACACACTTCGTTCTCCAAAACAAAATAAATCTATATAAGAGATCTCAGGGTTAAGATTCAGCGACAAGACTGGTTTTAATGTGGACTTCCGTGTCTAGGAGACAAGAGACAAGAGTATATTTAAAAAAAATATAGTATATCTACAATATAACCATAAAAACAATTAACTACCTACATCTAAACGTGAATAGGTATCATTTTTAAAGAAACGCAGGTTTTACTACAGATATGGTTGAAATATATTTTTGTTAAAATTTTCCTAATAGATATAAATAACTTAACAAATCATTTAAATTCAAAACCTAAGCGGGGTTACATCGCGCGAATGCCTTTGAGGTCATTTGATTATGTCGAGGTCATTTGACCAAACAGTTATCTGTAGATGTAAAAACTGTGAAGTCTGTTCATTGTCACGGTTAATTCGCTAAATTTAAATCCTAAGTTAATTGTTAACAGTAATCAGTTATTATATAATGTTCTGATATGTTGGTTAACTCACCAACCCAAACCATCTGGATTGACATATCTATGTGTTTGCAAAATCGAAATCAATTTTTCAAATAAAAATGCTTCATAATCTGCTATGGTGTCAGTATAAAATAAGATACAGCTATAACATAATACGTAACTCTTTAGTCTATGAGAGAATTTTACTCTAATTATTAAGTTGAATTATTATACACGATATATAGTGGTAAGGTGGAAAGCACTTTCATCAGTAATTATGATCCAATAGCTCAGTATGTATTATTTTATTTTTCCATGATTGCCTGTAACAAATCGCTTGTTAACAAGCGATAAGACTGCCCCGTTTCCTAATCATTTATGTAATCAGTCATTTTAAGTATGTTTAAGGTAACGAAGTATAAATAACAATAAAGTTGATGGAATTTTCCTTGAATTAATACGTTTTCCGTGGACGATTTTTGATATAGTTTTATATCATCATCATTTATTATAAGTAAAGATTAAAACTAATATAAATTATAAGGGTTGCTTAGCAAACAGGATTTAGTTAGTGTAGCCATCACGGACCTGCAAGGAAGTTTGGGAAGTGTGGACATCATATGTTTCACAGAAACTTTTATTAAACAAGTCTCTTCATATTCTCGGCCTAATCAACGCCGAGGAGGTTCGTGCATCTTAATAAAAAACAATTTGAAATACAAGGAAATTTGTTACCCTAGACCCCCAATTCCTCTCCAATTCGAATATTGTGGCGTTGAAATAAGTAAATACAGCTTAATAATAATATGTATTTACCGGACTCCTACTTTAGATGTAACAGGTTTTTTATATAATTTAGAACAACTTTTAAGTAACCTATGCAGGAAACGCAACAAAAAACTAATTTTATGTGGAGACTGGAACATAGACATTTTAAAAAATAATAAAAGTTCCCGCGAACTTATCTCTATTCTTCAAAATAATAATTTACAAAATCATGTAAAGCACCCAACACGGAAAAACTCCTGCTTAGACTTAATAGCAAGTAACATAAATGACACACACTCGGACCTCCACTACTTGGCACTTTCAGACCATGAGACCGCACAATCGCTGACTTTTACACTCGAAGAAAACGAAAATTTTAAAGATATTCCAAAATACTGGTATATATACAGACGAGAACTCAATAGGGAAAACACTAATACATTTATTAGGTGTCTATCAAGCCTCACCTTCTCGGACGTATACAGCTCCACCACAACAAATGAAGCATTCGACAACTTCCATGACACTATAACTTTGTTTTACAATTTATGTTTTCCGATCTTAAAAATTAAAAATACATTCAAACCTATCAAAAATAGATTCTTTACTAAAGCGCTAAAAAAATGTTGTATAAGAAAAAGAACGTTATACCTAAAATATCATTTAAATAAACACAATAAAAAACAAAATAAATCTGCATATAATAAATACTCATCTATTTTAAAAAAATGTATACATAAGTCCCATCAGCTTACTAATGTAGAATACATAAATTGCGCAAAAAACAAAACTAAAGCAGCCTGGAATGTAATTAAAACAAATACACGAGACATGACATTTTATTCAGGAATAGAAGCAATTAATATTGATAGCAAAACATATGAATCACCACATGAAATATGCAACTTATTTAATGACTATTTTACCTCACTGCCTACAAAAAATAAAACAAACAATTTGCCAGAAGCCAAAAT